TTTTCGCTTTGCACTCTAACCTCCTATGGTTAGGTGACAAACATTGGAAACGTACTTTCGCTTTTTTGACTACGTCCCATTTCTCGCGAATATTCATGTCCTTAAACTTGTAACAACTCACTATAGAGTGCTCCTTGTTGCATATAACACACTTATGTGTTACCCGACTTACAGGCTTGTCCTGGGTTGTCATAACCACTTGTCGGTTGTGCCCTTTATTATTTCGGCGTTCTAGACGCTCGCTCGTATTACTTCGGCGCACATAGCGCTCGCTCTTGGCACGACTGCGTACACATCCCTTTGCAGTGTGTACAGTTTGCTTCCTGAATTCAGGACGCTTCCGTTTTTCAGGCGCATTTTCATTGCTTAAGGACGTTCCAAATTGTTCACTCAATAAATTTAAAAACTTGGCCATCTTCTGTAACTCTGGCTCCAAAGGATGCTGAGCTCGATATTCGAACCATTTAAATTTAATCATAGTTCCAAGTTTCTCCACTATGCGGCTCACTAACTCTGGTGAGTATAAATACTGTGGTTGATTCAACGCTTGTATTGTGGCAACCACGTTCGTAATACGACTTGTAAAAGATCCTATATTCCGGCAATCTTCTGCCAATCTTGGCATACGCTTTACATTCTCGATTTCGGCTAGAATGAGCATCTCAACCCTACCGAATCTTCTTTCGAGAGCGTTCATTATTTCTTCCGGTTCACACAAAGTAAACAATAACGACTTGACCGCTTGCTTAGCGGTGCCCTTTAATGCCCTCCTAAGGCGTGCGACATTCTGCACCCCTGAAAATTGGCTTCTCGTGTCTTCAAACACCGTTTTGAAAATTATCCATTCACCCGGGTCTCCATCGAACACCGGTAATTCCTGGAGGAAATGAAGCTGGGAAGACTTATCTTTACCCGCTATCTTTATTGCACTCACAATCGCTTCGGTCAATTCTGACACACTTTCACTCGCGTGTGTTTTCTGTGCATTTCCTTGGTTGCGCTCGATCTCCGCCCCTTTGCGGCGTGATCCTTTATACGCTTCCTTATCAGTAATATCGGGTTGCGTTACACTAACCGGCGCGCTCATTATGGTCTGCTGAACCCAACTCCTTACGAAAGGTTCCACCTGAGTATTCCGCTCTTCATTATCCTCACTCGAGTCGATCTCCTCTTCTCGGTTGAGTCGTGCCAACTCCAATTGAGATGGCTAAGGTAGCAGCTGCCTGTGCTCGTTCGAGCTCTGAGCGTTCGAATTTAATCCGCGCCTCTAATTCGGCTTTCAGCCTCGCCGATCGCGATGACCTACTACCTCTCTGTGACCCTTTGTCACTAGTGTGCCCGATTACTGTCCTTGACGATGCCGCTTCTTCGGTCCTTTGACCTACTTTTTCGACCACCGTTTCACTTCTGCATATAACGGATTGTTGTGCGGTGCTGGCCTGCGTACCACTAGTGTCCGTCCTGTTGCTTGTCGTTGCCATGGACGTCCCTGAGTCCCACGTGCATGTGGACGTGTCGGTGGTGGCTCCACTTGAAGGAGTTGCCCCATTTGACGCAGTAGCTGTGGTCGCTCCAGATGGTTCCGTTTCTTTAGCTTTTCTTGAGAGCCCTGTCCTTGTCCTGCTCCCTTCGCTCCTCCCTGTCTGGTCTTGTGCCTTCTTCATCTTGCAGGAAGGTGATTGTTGGCCTACAGTCCCTAACTGTCCCTACGGTCCCTACAACCCCTTACCTACAACCCCTTACCTACAACCCTTCTACACCCCAACCTAACCCCACTACCCCTCCCCCCTTATCTCCCAACCCTACAACTCTACTACCACCCTAACAGCCCTATCAGCCCTATCAATCCTGAACGGGGCCTACCGAGGTGAGCCGTCCAGGGATGGAGTCGTGCAGGAATGGAATGGAGGAAAGGTTTAGGAACTGTCCCGCCAAGGAATATGACGATACAGTCGAGCGGTAGTGCAAGCGCAGTCTCGCTCGAGAGAACTGCTTCCACCCGAAGGTGTTGTGCCAGAGCCCGACCGTTTGGCACCGTTAGGTGGTCGGGATGTATGCTGTGCTTGCCGCCCAGTTGCCGGTGACGCCTCGTCCAAGGCGCCCTCCTCCGGCCGCGATGCAGTTAGGTGCCCACGCGCACCCTCGCCTGGCAGCAGCAGCGGTGGATGCACCCTCTGATGACCCGACAGGAAATGCCGGACACGGTCGTCCGACAAGAAATGCCAGACACGGTCGTCCGACAGGAAATGCCGAGCACGCTTGCCCGACAGGAAAAATGCCAAGCCCTGCTTGGCCACGATGAGCGCCTTCACAAGGCACCTGCGCCTGGCTGCCAGGTTTTTTTCTTCCGGTAGTTCCAGGTCCAGTCCTTCTGCGCTGACGACCTGGTCTTCTGGCCTTTGGTCCTATTGCTTCAGCTCAAACCTCCGGCTTCCTTCGGTTGCTGATCTTCACTCGGCTCCGAAGGTCTTCTTTTTCCACAACCAGCAGTCCACAGCTGGTTCCTTGATCCTGGCGGAAGGACCAATTAAAAAGGAACCAGCGAGCTTCGGTGGTCCTCTTAATCCGGCTCCGAAGGTCCAATTGAAAAGGAACCAAATGGTTGTGTAAACGTTCAACTAAGAAACAGAAGGGAGGAATCGAGGCTTCTCTCGATCCGGCCTCCTATAACGCCTACGTTGGGTTCGGGAACAACGTATGTGATCTCCGCAACGGAGTAACACACAAGGGCGATAACCTCTTCCTTTTCAGCAAATAGGTTCAGACGAGGATTACGGGTCTTCCGAAGTCGTCCCGGTCCCTAACGCCTTAATTCTTCGATGTGGAGTAATGTGATGAATTTCTTGGGAATAAAACAGCAATTATCTTCAAACCGTTCCGTGAGAGAGTAATTACTTTTCCCTATCACTTCCCTACACCTTTCTTTCTTCTTCTTATTGACTGCTGGTCTTGCACTTTTTCCGAACTTTCCCGAAGGATTCCCGAACTATTCCCGAAGGATTCCCGAACATTTCCCGAACGAATTGCAATAAAACTCATTTACTGAGCTACCCCAGAGCTATACGCGAAAGTGAGCCGCGCCATTCGCGCGCTTGCGCAACTCAATTACATGAATTTGTTCTATTACTCTCTCACGTTTTACTTAATTACTTTATTTGCATAAGTCATACATCAACATAATTTACCTGTATAGATAGCACAAAACAATATCTACACTACGATATACATTACATTCTCATATCACAAAAAACCTATTATTTATTTAACAAAATATGTCTATTTTACTCGCAAGTTCAAAGTCGAAATTTCTTAAATATTTAAGAAAGAAAGTTAAAACAATGTTTTCCGCTTGAAATTATACATAAGTTAACCAATACAACAGTTTAATTTACATTTTCTCTATTCATTTCACTATTAAAACACTTTTAAATTTCTTACAAAACTATCATTATTTCACTTATACACAGGAATTTTCACATAAAAATAACACAGAATTCACCTTTTTAGCACGTACAATCAACCTGAAATGTTTTACAAGTCATTTTTACATAAATTGCTGAAATTACAAATGTTTAAATTTTTACATATTTGGCCTCCTAAGGGCGTGGCTTAGCGTGCGTCCGTGAACTCACACTATTTGAACAACTAACTTCGTACGGCTCTCTACTATCAGAAAAAATGAAAAGTCTAATATACACCAATATCGACAGTATTAGGTGAATAAATGCTTCTACACAATTTTCAAACTGTAGGAAACTATTTCTAATCAGATTCTTATCAGTTATCATGTTTCTTATCAGATAACAATATAAGTGAATGTTCTCATAAATCAATCATAGCAAATAGGCATTTATTTTCATACAAAACATATCAAACTCATATAAGGCAACACTTATGCTATTAATTTCCATTAATTCTATTTACTCACAAAGTGATCATCTCGACCGGGGAATAAATCCGATCTCTAACTTTATTTTAATATTCCTTTAAATTTACATCATTGGAAAGATGATTTCAACCGGGGAACAAATCCGGTAACATAATTTATATCTTAAAAATTCCCTATATGAATTTATTAAGAGATATTACTAAGAAAACGATAAACTATTCCGGCCTGGGAGTCGAACCCAAGACCTTCATATCATTAATTCGATATTTCTTTAAGACTCAACTAAGCATTTTCTTATCGGAATATTGTTACTTGATAATTTGCTTTTTAGAAGCTATTCGTCATCGGTTGACTTAATAAACTGAAATATTCTTATAGGCGCGTCGCCAACAACCATCTGGTATAATCGATGGTTGGAATTCAATGACTCCAGCCAGTAAATATTTTTTATCCCTAATATTTAAACATATAGGGATTTCTCGCAAATTACTTCTTGAAAATGTTTGTTGTTTATCTGTTTTAGAAGAAAGTAATTTTTCATAAAAATGACTCACGTTCAAACATAAGTGTGAATCGAAATTTAGTGTTCGACCGATTACATGTTCTTTACATTTTTTACGGAAAAACTTTTCATTTTCAATGTCACTCAAAATACTTTCTTCCAGAAAATCAAAGCCATTATTCCGTATTAATGTAGCGATCACGTTTAATAATGATTTTTTTTTGTTTCAGTACATTTACATCTCACGCAAAATGTCTGTTCTGTGATAGATTCATAATGTATCAGTAAATTCTGAATTAATTCAGTTACATCATCCTTACAGTCAATTAAGTAATTTTGTTCGCCATATATCTTGCGTAATAAATTAAATCTTTTACTTTTAAACGCGCCAGTAGCTCCAAATTCAGCATAAAATAATATAATTTCTAGGAATTCAGACTAACTTTTTTTAATTGTCAATAAAAAGTTTTAAGTTTTTGAAGTTTAAATAAGCAAAAGAAAAAAGTTCAACTATACTATCAAATGGGCAAGTATTTTTTATTGATAATTTTAACTTTCCAACCTTCAGAGGGTTACTGACGCAGACATTTTGAATTATTTGCCGCTTTTTTAGTTTTTTTTTTTTTTGGAATTTTTGGCTGCTGCATTTTGATGTAGTACTTTTATAGATGGAAATGGAACAACATATTTTCCTCGTTTGACTGTTGGGCATGGAGTACTTGTTAAGATTTGTTTGCGTTTGACTGACTTCTGAGTTTCGTGAATTTTAAATTTAATCGGTTCCTCGTCAAAGACTATTGAAAAACTATTTTCTACGTTTTCTTTGCCTGGAATATTTGATGGTTTTGATGTATCAGGATATGTTTCAGAGGTAAAATGGAATTTTGGCTCTGAGAAATTTAAATTTTTATTAGATAAAATACTATTTTCTTCAGTTGGTAATTCGACAGAAATTGCAACAGGGGTTGATAAAAATTCCAACTCCGATGTATGATTTAAAATAAGTTCTTTAGATTCATCTGTTTTAAAAGTTTTAGTTTCATTATCATTATTTTTTATTGATTTAACAACATTTAAAGAATTATCATTAGAAATTTCTTCTTCAGTGGAATCTGGATCCACATTTTCGTCAAGTCTGTTTTTGTTTTTCCAATTTTCTTGATAATTCAGGATGGATTCATCAGCAACTTTTTGAGGCTTATTTAATAGTTTTTTATTTGTCATTTGCTCCTTATCATAAGCAGCTCTGGCTTCAATTAATCTAGGTAAAATAGTCTGGATATGTTGAATTATAAACATATCGGCTCGGGTTGGTTGTCGGTCATCTAGTACATTTTCTTTTATGTATTTAAAATAATTCTCAGAACGAGAAGAAGTTGCAACATAATGTTCTGAGCCATAGTGCTTACGCATGACATTTTTCCATGATGGAAAACATTTAAACAAGAATATTAATTTTTCCAATATACTTTTAAAATAATAAGGGTTAATATCATCAAAATCACACAGTCATTAGAATTAATATTACTATGAGATTCTCTAACAAGTTTATCAATATAATTAATTAAATCTAGATCAATCGATGAATTTAATAAATGAGAATCATTGCTTTCAATTTCTTCATCGTGACAAACCAAATGGCTGTCGTAAAGATTTTGTTTTTCACAGCAACTGCTGTTTTAAATTTTTTTGTAGTCAATAACGGTCTCATCAAATTCAAACGTTTCCAATTTTTCCAGTATCCATTGAATATCATTTTTGCACCCATATTCAATATTATGATCGGTTAAGGAAAAAAAATTGTACTCTTAATTATTAATTACTAATTAAATAATTAGTAAATACTGACCTCACTCGTATCTCTGATTGGTCTAGCAAATTCGGTATTACTGTTAACCCTACCAAGTGCCAGGCAATTATAGTTGGAAGTAGCCGTCGCAGTAATTAATCAGTATACATTGGATTTTAATTCACTGCCACCTGTAAATTTTAATAATGCTGTCATACCTTATTCAGCTACTGTGAAAAATTTAGGACTTATCATTGACAGCAGTCTGAGTTGGCGGCCGCAAGTCACGGAAGTAAGCAAAAAAGTTATCAACACCTTGCGTTGTCTGTATCGACTCAAGAATTTTCTTCCAGTGAGAACAAAGATAATGTTGGTTCAAACGCTCGTATTACCAATACTAGATTATGCAGATGTATGCTATGCTGATGCCTCTCAAGAACTTCTTAACAAACTGGATCGTCTTCTCAATAATTGTATTCGCTTTATCTTTGGCTTACGTAAATTCGATCACGTCTCTTCATTCCGTTCTCAGCTCAAATGGCTGCCTCTTCCACTTCGTAGATCTTTTAGAATCCTTTCTATGCTATTCTCTATTTTAACACGATCCGTTTGTCCCTGCATATCTGAAATGCAAATTTCAGTATCAGGGCGATTCTCACAACCGATGTCTTCGTTCCGCGGAAAATCTAACTCTTCATGTTCCTTTCTGTCGCACGGGCTTCTCTTACAATTCTTTCACTTCAAATGCAGTAAGACTCTGGAACATGTTACCTAGAAATATAAAAGAAGCAAAAACTAAACCTATCTCTAAACGTTTACTCTGGGAATATTACTTAAAGAAGCAGTAGTAGTTTCGGATTATAATAAAAAATTTAAAAACTTCAGAAACTGTTATATTCTCAAGTATGTATAGTATAAAAATATCATATTTATTTATTGTGTATGTATTTATTGTGGGTATTTGTGTATATATATAAAATAATATTGTATGCATGTAAGTAGTAATGTAAATGTATATTGTATGTGTATTGTTTATTATCATTATGTTATAATTTTGTATTTTTTCCTTAAACCTTTAATTTTTTTTTAATTATGAGTTTTGCACCCATCACTAGATTCTATGCACAAACCAAAGGTAGACTGGTAGAGAATGCCTTTTGGCATTAAGTCCGCCGTTTTGTTCATTTCTTTTATGTGTGCAAATAAAGCTTAAATAAATAAATAAATAGTTTGAGCAATTGCGTATTACGGTTAGGCATTTTGTGAGCAATTAGGAGTACTTATTAATTTTTAAAAAAAAGTTCTTTGGTTTTAAGGCAATAACAATTTTGTATTTTTAATTATTAATAACTAATAAAATAATTGATAAATATTGTGAGCATTTGCAGATTTGAAATGAGCAATTAGTGAGTAATTTTGTGCACCTATTCAATATTATGATCGGTTAAGGAAAAAAAATTGTACTTTTAATTATTAATTACTAATTAAATAATTAGTAAATAGTTTGAGCAATTGCGTATTACGGTTAGACATTTTGTGAGCAATTAGGAGTACTTATTCATTTTAAAAAAAGTTCTTTGGTTTTTAGGCAATAACAATTTTGTATTTTTAATTATTAATAACTAATAAAATAATTGATAAATATTGTGAGCAATTGAAGATTTGAAATGAGCAATTAGTGTGCAATTTTATGCACTTATTCAATATTCTGATTAGTTAAGGTAAAAAAATTGTACTTTTAATTATTAATTACTAATTAAATAATTAGTAAATAGTTTGAGCAATTGCGTATTACGGTTAGACATTTTGTGAGCAATTAGGAGTACTTATTCATTTTTAAAAAAGTTCTTTGGTTTTTAGGCAATAACAATTTTGTATTTTTAATTATTAATAACTATTAAAATAATTGATAAATATTGTGAGCAATTGCAGATTTGAAATGAGCAATTAGTGAGCAATTTTGTGCACTTATTCAATATTCTGATCGGTTATGGAAAAAAATTTTTGTACTTTTAGTTATTAATTTTTAATTAAATAATTAATTAATAGTGTTATCAAATACGGTTTTGAATTAAGAATTTCTTGAGCAATTTGGTTTTAAGTATAATAGGGAAAAATATTTTGTATTTTTAATTATTAATAATTAATAAAATAATTCATTATAGTGTGAGCAAATGCGATTGAATTGACAATTAGTGAGAATTAGTCACTTATTATTTATTTATGTCTTATTGTTGGATTTTTTATTTTTATATGTATTAATATTGTTATGTAAGTTTTAATAAGCTTGTAAGTCCTCCTAAAATTAGATAAATAAAACAATTACGTATAGAGACCAGTAAAGTATAGTGACAACCCTAGCCACAGGCGCCACTGTACAAACTGGCAACTTCACCTAGACTTCAACTATCATAACCTATGGGAATGTCTCTTAAAATTGTTAAGAAAACACCATTGTAACAGCCTTCACGTCTTCTTAGGAAGGTTATATATAGTATGAATAAATTCTACTTACCTCAGCCAAGTAAATTAACAAGCACTATTAAAATATCGACCAGAATCGGCTGCGTCAAGGGTCAAGGTAGCGTAACGCGAGCCCCTTTAGGGGTGTATATGTTCTGTGAACGCGAGTGTCAAACATATACTTCATTTACTCAGCCTTGTTGGGCAGGGAAGGCAGGGAAGGCTACTCTCGCTATCACTACCCACTGCCGCTGCCACTGCCCGGCTTTCCCTCGATTGTCGGTTTTTCACGCGGAAGTCAACAAAGATTTAAATAGTTAGATGCGCCTTCACCTTGAAAAACTGTTGCATTATATTTGAATGTGTGCGTTTGCAAGACGCTGACGCGCGCACACTAATGCAATAGTGTCATCTCTTATTATCTTATGGAAATTGTGTATCCTACTTTCTCTGTCTACCACGGCATTTCCGCCTGTTTATGTCTATTTATAGATGATCCCTTTGTAAACCACTTCCTTGGTGCATCCGAGTATCTAACTAAATTGGCTATTAAAAGAGTACTGAGACAATAGTGTCATCTCTTATTATCTTACGGAAATTGTATTCTCTGTCGCACAGTTTCCGGTTGCCTGTAATTATTTCGTGGTATTTTCTGACATCGGAATAAAATAAATACAATCTTTAATAAAATATAGATATTTACGAGTGAAGAGTTACACCCCGGGCTTTATTTGTATTTCTAGAATTGTTATTGCACTTTCGAAAGGCACACGATGGCATTTTGAGAGGTTTTTATTTGGTTAAATCAGCGCGTTAGTTCTGTGCCGGACGGGCGAAACTCTCCGGAGTAAATGTTGTCGAAGATACTTCGCGAGTCGCTCACGTCCTACACCTATAGGTTCCGGTGGGTACTCTCACCGCCGTCTTTGTTGGTGCCGCTGAAATATTGTGGACTGTAGTTAAAATCAAAATGCACGATTAACAAATACAAATAGCAAGGTAGTGGCCAGCGGTTCGACTGATTGATTAGTCGCGAAATTTTATAACTATTTATCACCGTTGTTAAACTACGGTTGTTCACTGTATATTTCAAAAGATTTCTTTAAATTGTACGGTGGTATCAAATATCTATTGGTAGTAGCTGGTTTTCTAACACTACTGACTAGCAGCTATTATCAACTAAACTAGTTGATTTTATCACTTGTGTAACTGCGGATATCAGTTACCACTTTCACTATATGTAACTGCGAATATCAGTTACGACCTTTTTAGGCTAGCTAACACTTTCACTATGTAACTGCGAATGTCAGTTACAACCTTTTTTAGGCTTGCTAACACTTTCACTATGTGTAACTGCGAATGTCAGTTACGACCTTTTTCGGCTAGCTAACACTTTCACTATATGTAACTGCGAATGTCAGTTACGACCTTTTTCGGCTAGCTAACACTTTCACTATGTGTAACTGCGAATGTCAGTTACGACCTTTTTAGGCTAGGTAACACTTTCACTATGTAACTGCGAATGTCAGTTACGACCTTTTTCGGCTAGCTAACACTTTCACTATTCACTATATACTGCTACTAGTCACTTCAGCTACCACCGGATACCACTCACTTCACTTCACTTGTCACTGGTAGTTCTTCACACTACAGCGGATACTGGGTCCCGAGCCCCTAAGGTAGACTTTAGCAATACTTTACAGTGAGCCGCTTGCCATTTTCCATTTTGCCTCTTTATTGCATAAACATTTCACTATACAAATGGCATAAATTGCAATATTCTCTATACAAAACTAATTGCTACACTAACATGCTATATATCATTAAATCGGTAGTCTGGTACTTTATTATTATATCATAAAGGTTACAAAAAACATTAACATTGTAAAAAAGTTATTAAACGAAATGTCCCAAATTTTCATAATATTTGGGCATTTTAATTCTTTAATTTTTCTATAACTACGAAATGCGTTTAATTATACAAAATATTCCTACACTTTCTTAATCTATAAGCCATATGCTAATTCAATATCATATTTACAACTCTTTTAGAACACAAAATTATTTTCATTATTTTTGGTATGAACTATTACGCAGTTAATTAAAAAACTTCTAGAGAGTTCCACAATAAGACGCGCTGTGATTGGTCGATTTTTTTGGT